GAGAAGCTTTGGAAAATGTTTTGAAACCCTGCATCATGAATAATCTTATTTCTTTCCAGCAGTGATGCAGCTAGCAGCATATATCACACCATAAATGCAAATAATAATTCTTTTTTCCTCTGTCATGTTTTATTTCACATAGGTTGTTATGATGGCTTAGTATATGTGCTTCGAAGCAGTGATGGAGAAATACAGTGGACTTTTGTCACAGAAGACACTGTGAAAAGCTCTGGAGTTGTAGACCCTTCTAGTGGACTAGTCTACATCGGATCACATGACCAACATGTGTATGCTTTGGATATTTATGTAAGAACACTGACTATAGAAGAATAAATATCCAACTTAAACCCTATTTGTAGTACACCAGAGGAAGCTCCACTGGTGTTAGTATTCTTAGGAGTCCACAATCACACTTCTGAAATAGGCCTGCTTGAAGTGGGATTAGGATTATGTGGCAGCAGATAGTTTTAGTGGTGTTCTCAACTGTGGTTCTTGTGTTACTAATCCTGGTTGAAACCAAATCTTAAGTTTCTTAGTTATTAAATTCTCCATGGGTGTTTCAGAATAGGGTGCCTAGCTAGAAATAGAACTATCTATGGCTTTATGACTGGAGAAAGAATCTTACATTCTAAATGGGTAAATAAAGGGAGATGGAAAATAAAAGGGGCAGATACTGCCTTTTCATTAACCGAATTTCTTTTATTTACTGGAAGAGAAAGTAGCCAACATATGTGTTGCTCATAGCACATAGGTTATATCTTCACTTCTTAACTAGTGTCTGCTGAGTTAAACACAGTGTTTCATAAGGTTTGACATGCAAAGGTCTTTGTAAACATGATGAGCTCTAGCTCCAATTGAAAATTGTTTATTAATGTGTTTTCTTGTGCTTACAGAAAAAGGCATGTGTATGGAAGTCACACTGCGAAGGTGGAGCTGTGTTTTCATCTCCTTGTCTAAGTTCTTTTCCACATCATCTCTATGTTGCTACTTTAGGAGGACTACTATTGGCTGTTAATCCAGTATGTACCTTTGTTTACTTGTCTTTGAGCCCAGTCTCAAATTCAAATGGAACTAAAATGTATATCTGAAGTTAAAATTTCTTTTCTGATGAAAGGAAGGATGACCATATGTTACCATAAAATATTTTTCGCTTGGGAGCCTTATAATTATACACAAGGTTACCATAATAATTCCCATGCTTCAGAAAGCTGTCCGGTGATAAAGAGAACTGAAATGACTTGCTTGAAATCACATGCTGACTGTAGACCAAAATTGCAGTCAGTGTCTTCTCATTCCCGTATACTACTTTATCAGGTTGACTAGTGAGTGAGAGCATGTCTGTAGATTTAGTTCCCCCACGCCCTCCCTTTGACAGAAGGATTGGAAAAAACATATGCAGAAATCAGAATAGAATCCAGAAAGAAGCCCCTTCATTCGTTTTACTGTCTGCCTGCCATCGTCATTTAAAGAGCTGTCCCCTTAATCTCAGACTGCAGTTGTATTCTTTGCACTGGGAAAATGGTATTCTTAAAAGATGTGGAGCAATTTCATGGTTTTCTGAGGCATTGTTTGCTTACAGCTGGTCCTGCCTGATAAAAGAAACAATGACTTAAAGCAGCTGTTAGCATTTTTGTATCACACAACCCACTAAGCACCTTTACCTCCCACCCACTGCAAATGTCCTCAGTAATAATCAATGCTGTATTAGAAAACCAGAGCGTGGTTTTGCATCCCTAGTGGACTGTGCTTAAGAAAAAAATGGGATTTTTTTATACTGTAATCCAGAGTAACATGTAGTTGAGAAACCCAGCTACAAATGAGCCTGCGCATTCCGATTTTTATAAATAATCATAATTCCTGAGGAATTTGCAGGATACGTTAGGAGCATATTGTGACAATCAGACTGTGGGTTGCAGAATTTCCTGCAGTATCAATATGACTTCATTAGATATCCTCTGCTTCGCTGGTCCATGTCACACATACTGAGGAACTGGGAATGGAGTAAAAAACTGAATTTGGCATTCTTTAGAACTACTACTACTACACTATTATCATCATTACTTTACCTAGGGGGAGGAAGAAAAGGGCAAAAATGGGTATTGAGTATCCTATGTAAAGCACTAAACATTTTGTTAGAGTAAGATTTGAAGAGTGGTTTTGCTTCTAGTATGCATTCTAGATGGGAGAAGCCTGCTTCTCTTTGATTTGTTTGTTGGTTTGTTTGGAGGTTTGTTGTTGTTGTATTTTGAGTTTTTGTGGATTTTTTCCCCACACTTCATAACGGCCGTGTCAGGCCGTGACGGAAGCGTTGTTTTGTGCTGCTTCTTACAGTTGTGTTAAGCATCAGATATTCAATGCTGCCACTTACAGGTGACGGGGAGCAAGCTTTGGAAAAGCTTCCTGGGAAAACCACTCTTCTCCTCTCCTCACTGCAATGAGAACTACATCTGTGTTGGGTGTGTGGATGGAAACTTATATTGTTACACTCATTCTGGAGAAAAGGTAAAAATCGTGTTGTTTTTTTATATCCATACAAAACCCTGAATAAGATGCTTTATTAATACTGTTTTCTGAGGTTTAATGGTTGACATATACCTTTTTGTGAAACAAATGGAAGTGTATATTGTTAGAGAGGGGAGAAAGCAGAAGAAAGTTTGCCTAAGATAATCTATGCAGTTCATGGCAAAACCACAAACTATCAAGTTGCTTGATGCGGTAAGAGAATTTTTAGTCCAGAACTTATACCCAGAGTAAATTGTGAAGTGTAGTGCCAGCAAATGAAATGGTTTCATTTGAAATTTTTCAAGCATGTTTAAGCCATCTCTTCTGCAAGATGGTTGATTATTCAGAAGCAAAGGTTTCTTAGAATGTTTTATGCATTTATCAAAAAATTGCCAAATCATAATTCTGGCAAAATATGTGTCAGCCTTCACATTGAATTAAATGAGAGTAGTTTTTTAGTTCCTCAGAGATTAATCTTGTTTGTATCTCGTGTTAAGACAACTGACACCATTTCTGTTTGTTGGCCTGACATGCAGTATACATGGCAATTCCTGAACCTTTTCTGATTATAAAATATATGTTAGCTTATGCCCTGCTCTCTGTCTGCTTGCAGTGGTGTTACAGAACTGATACTCTCTTGGGGAGGGATCTGCACACCATTAGCATGAGCAAAGGAAATCTATATTACAAAAGGAATATCTGCCTTTCTGGCAAAGAATGGCATATTAACAGGATTCTTTAAGTTCATTACTAATTATGGTACAACAGCCTAAGAACATCCTTTTCCCAAAGTGGCCATCTTTATGTGGGCTTCACATAAGATAGTAACTTTTCCCTCTTCCACATCTATTTTATGAGACTTGCTCTGTGTGTAAAACTTGACTTATAATTTGACAAGGATTTACCAGCCCTCACTGAAATCTAGTAAATCTTTGAAATAAAATGCTCTCCTAGACTACAACTAGTCTATTAAAAAATTATATGAAAAACCTTTGATAATGTGTGGTTATGTTCTTTCTGTAGGTTTGGCAGTTTTCCACTAATGGGCCAGTGTTTTCATCTCCATGCCTCTCAAGTTTAACTAAGCAAGAAATATTTTTTGGCTCCCATGATTGCTTTATCTACTGCTGTAACATGGAGGGTAATTTACTGTGGAAATTTGAAGCCACTTCAAGTGTGTATGGAACACCGTTCATTTTCCAAAGTGATGACTTAAGTAACAAAATTCTTTTGGCAGCAGTATCTACAGATGGCAAAGTGTGGATCCTGAATGCCAAGAGTGGAACAGCAGAAGGAGTAGATAAGCTTCCAGGAGAGGTTTTCTCTTCCCCTGTAGTATGGGGAACAAAGCTTGTTGTTGGCTGTAGAAATGATTATGTTTATTGCCTAGATCTGTATATAACAGGAAAAAAATAACAGCTAAGTTGTTAGGCTGCTTTATTTTTATTGTTTACATTTGTAAACTAAGAACTCACATGTGCCCTCTACCTCTCTGCCTATTTTTCTGCAGGCAAGAGCTGCTCCTTGCAGGTTTATCAGGTAGCATTTTGCATCAGACAGTGTCCAGGGTAGGCTGTACTGATGGAAGGAGAACAGCTGCTCAGCACCTTTCCAGAGAAGGGAGAATCTGTAGTAAGATGCCATACCCTGCAGCTTGAAATAGCATGCTTGTCTCTGAGGGATGAATATATTGCTTTCTCTGAGTCCAGCCTAGCCTGTGCCTGGCTCTTCCATTTATCAGGCTAGTGTTTGTCTAGTCTAGCAAGGTTTCTGTGCCAAGGCAAGGTAACCCAAGTCATTTTTTGAATCTAACTTTTAACTTCATTTCTGAAGACATAGCCTGCACTGCATATACCTAGTAGGAGTGACCTGTTTACTATAGTTTGTACAAACTGAATAGTTCTTTTGTAAAGGACCTAGGCCGTCCATGACTTCAGTTCATTCTAGCATATACTTAGACTCCACCGAAGTCAGTAGGAGTTACTTCTTGTATTCTAAAGCGGAGAATATACTGTATATATTTATTAAATTCCAGTGACAGGTACAGTATGAGTTCCAAGATGAAGTGTGCACTGCTCAAATCAACCATTGTCAAATAATTTTTAAGTGATTTCAATGAATGCTGTCTACATTGTCTTTCCAAGAACTATTAATAAAAGGTTGTGTAAATTGGGTTTGGTTGTCTTTAACATCTTAAAAGTAAGTACTAGTGGCCTTACTAATGCAAATCAAAAGTATTTACAGTGACTAAGTATGCTTCCCTGAAAGCATTTCTGATTATGAGTCTTCTAAAAGAAGTATAATAGGAACTATTATCTTATTCTCTCTGATAAGCCATCTACTTTGAATCCTATATTGCTTTATCACATTTGGTTCCTCCATTTTATTATTAGCAGAAATGCATAAGCAAGACACATGTAGCTCCGTAAAAAGTTCTATTTGTAAAGCAAATCTGAACTACGTGATTTGCAAAAGGAGACACACAGTACATATATCGATTAGATAATTTTGACTGGGTTATAGTTTAATAAGAATTAAAATGACATTAGTATAATAAACAATTGCACTTTAAAACATTTGAAAAATTAAAAAAGTACACAACGAATACCCCACAATTGTACATCTTATAGTTTTTATACATTACTATATGAACATAGAGGTTAATCATATATAACCTTGTCAGAAGAAATGGTATTTTGTGTTTGTATAAGTTACAAAAATTTGAGACAATATACTACATAGTGGCTTGTTCAGTTCTTAAAATATTTTTGCTGTTTTAAGCTGGGTAGTAATGTTCTGGGTTTATTTTTACAGATTTCCAATACTTTATCAGAAATGGTTGCAACAAAGCTAAAGCAAAGTAACACTTCACTTCGTTGGTATTTAGTGCAAATTTTTGTTAATTTAACATGAAATGTCACTGTTGCACGTGTACACTTCAGAAATGTTTCCATCGAGTACTGCACGTAACAGTTTCCATTGTTACACTAGATACCTTTATGGTTGAAAAAACCCTCTGGTTTGAAGCTTCAGCTTAAGACCATCCTTAATGAAAACTTATTCTATGTGCTGTAAATGGATTGTATTGGAAAATTGCATCCTTATGTCATGCACAATAGCACCTAACTTTGCTATGCTTTTCAGAGTACCAGTTTTTTTAATCCTGATTTACTTCTCCTTCTCTGTATGTCTACCTGGCTCCCCCTCCAAGAAATAATTGTAAAGATGGGTTTCAGGCAGTTTAAATTACAAATAGGTACTGCAGGCAAACAAACTTGGAAAAAAACCTTAAATTTAACTTAAGATGCACTAATTCCTGGTGCTAGCAGAGCAAGAAGAATTAAGGGGCCAATTCTTTCTTCAGATATTGAAGACATTGGTTTTTTTTCCCCTAAGCATTTGAGAGCAGCATTGCCCTGTTTCTGTTTAAAACGTATTAATTACTTATATTAACAGTAAAAAGTTGCTTTAGAGATTCTGTTTTAAATATGAAACTGAGCAAAACTGATGGCTTTTGACCAAGAAAGCCCATCTTGCTGCTGCATATCTACTCAATCTAACACATCCACTGTGTTTGTGCTATTGTAACCATGATAGGGAGCCACTGGTTTGGTGGGAAAGGCTGTACTCAACAATGACTTGCTGTTTGATTCTGTGAACAGGAGGATACAGCAGGTTTCATTCTGTTTTCTGCATAAAGTGCTACTCCTTATGCTGCATACAGCAGTTTGGCTAAAACACTTCCATGAAGCATATGTGGCATCATTCTATAATGATATGTCTTCATTTTATGAAAATGTCTCCTTTTATGATGTTGTAGGCTTAAAGGTTCTTTTAAGCCTTATGGTTATAAGGAGACATACAGATTTTTTAAAGTCTTCCTTGTAAAACAAACTCAAGTGAACTATTTAATAGCGTGACTTTCAAAAATGCAGACCTAGCTATTTCTATGGGATGTTGAGGATAGCGACATCTTTATTACATCTTGGACTTTATCCTTTTTTGTAAGAGAGAGGGAGTGAACATTTTTATTTTAGTTAGGTGAAGTAATAAAGTTTTCAATTGCCACAGCAGATACCTGAGATGGGGTAAGTAACCTTTTCTGAAGTGATCTGGCTGTATTGGTCAAAGTACAGGAAGTTATCTGAACTACCTGAAGTTGCATGTAAAACTGGGAGTAAAATCGGGAAGAATGCCGAGTTAAAACTCCTGTGACTCTCACTGACTTAGCTTTCCATTCTCAGTTAACTTCAGTTCTGCCAGTCTTACTCCTGTGGGAACTTACCGAGACAAATTCCATAGCTACATTTGCAGTGTAGAACAGTTTAATTCCAGTCATTCAATTGATTTAAAGTTGTAATCTGCAATCACTGTCTCTATGCATCTTAAATATGGCCAAGCACAAACAGTGATGCATTTAAATGACCAGAAGAAACACTGACTTCTTGGCTTCTTTTTGAAAACTTAATGATATTTGCTTAAATAACTGTGGGGTTTTTAAAGTAGGATTAATTGTTTTTTTCCTAGGAATGAGGGAATATAGATGTAGTATATTAATACTACAATGGAAGAAATTACCTCGGCATTTGGATGGTACCATCTTTCTGCTTATTATTTGCATGTGGAACGGTATATCCCGAAGTTCTTCATTAGGGAAAAAGCTTTCAAATAGCAGGCAGAACTGACAGTTCATACAGTTTAACATTTTTTTTAAAATTATGAATAAGAGAAGGGAACATGCATCTTGCCTTAATTTTAACAACAGACTGCTGAAAAAAAATTCTGAGATCTCGTTTAAAGTATAGAGATCTAAAATTCCAGAACTGAGTACCCACAGAATTTAAGAAGCATCTGAACTGAAGTTCTGGCCCTTATTATGATACTCACTAAAATTTACATCCAGTATCTGAGCATTCTTAAGTTTTTGAGAGTCTGGCTGTGAAATTTTTGCCATGACCTCATTTAGCTATTTGTCAAAGCAATGGAATATATGACTTGAGTAGGCTTAACAGTGAGCTAGAGCAAAATGGTAATCAGTTCAATTTTCAGTCCTTCCATACATGCATTTTCAATTTTGTCATGTGTAAAATGCAGAATAAATAAAAGAAAGCAATTAATAGCAATAGAGATGTAGTTTTACAGTTTACTTTATGATCTGTGGACAATCACTCCAGGCTTTTGCTTTCCTCTTGGCTAACGCAAGCCAGGCTGGTTCTGTTGACACAGGGTTAGCATCAGGCGTAGAGAATCTCTTGGCCACCTCTTTTGTCAGTGGGGTTGATGGAACAGAATCTGAAATTTCCACTGGAGAGGAAAAAGACAAAAACATTAGTTGAACCCTGTGCTTTCTTGCAGGATTCTAAAGGTTTCACTTATATGTGAAGATGAGCTCAGTTGGTTAGAGCATGGTGCTGATAATACCAAGATCGTGGGTTTGATCCCCTTATGGTCCATTCACTTAAGAGTTGGACTCAATGATCTTTGTGGGCCCCTTCTAACTCAGAATATTCTGTGAAACTCAACCAAACTTAGTATCAGATCATGCCTCCTTAACTGTTGTTGATTCTATATTCTGAACCAACACTTGATATTTATTTCCAACACTTTTAGGTAAATCTTACTGTATTTGCATAATAATCAAGTGAGGAGGAGCTGAATTTCCTTTTTCAGAGGTGACTCCAAGTAATCCAACTCACAAAACAGGGACAAAATTTTCAGTCTCTTGGAGAGCCAAACATTTCCAATTTGCCAGGCTTCCTCTTTACATAAACTATTTTAATTACATCTGCAACATAGCAAACAATGGGAAATAAAGCTAGGGGTTTTTTTCTCTTTGGTAACGCAGCTGCTGCACATGTTTAAGCCAACTGCATTCAATAGGATTTAAAGTCTCTCTTCAGATTAGTGTTCTTAAATAAACTAAGAGAAGAAAGTGGTCCTATAGTTGCCTGCCTCAGTTAACCCTGCCCATGAGACTATCCTGAAAAAGAAATAAACCTGCTTTCTCCATTAGCTGTTTGACACATTTTCTTCTAAGTAGTATCTTTAAGACAAACAGCTGTCTCTGCAAGAAAATGTGTTGAATAAACAACTGATTTCTAAGAAGCAACTTCACAGAGCAGAACTGTAGAATGTATCATAGTAGCCAGATGGGAAGATTAATTCTGAGACAGTGAATGCCCTTGAAAGCAACCTGGATAGACATGAGTCCTGTCTGAAACCTATGGAGTAACTCTAAAAATCATAGTTACAAAATAACTCCTCACTCATCCTCCCCTTTACACATTTTCTTTTTTTAGAGCCAAAAAGATTTTTTTTTTTATTAAATGTTCAGATTCAGTCCAAATTCCTTTAGTTGAATTTCATTTTCAGGTTTTTAATGTTTTTAAAAGCTTTAAAATTCCATGGATGCCAAAAATTGTTCATGCTTTACAGCATTTTACACATGCCTTACAGCATTCCTGTCAACCTGTAACAGGGCTCTATTGCAACCCTACTCCAAAAGATTTAGCGGTGTGATGTTATGCTGTACATGGTCAATTCTAGCGGAAATCAATTCTTTCTATTACGTCTTTAATCATATATTTTTATCTGTAAGTAAATGAACCCTAGCACAGCTACTACTGTAGATGGATACTTTGAAAAGCTAATTATTTTAAATGCTATGGTAATTTATGCTATTTTAAAGGTTAGACACTCTTATCAGTTCCTGTTGTACAAGACTCAAGTGCAAGTCTGAAATACACCTTCTTTTAAGTTTTGGGTGTTTTTAATGTCCTTAAAGGAGAACTCAGCAAACTCATTTTAAACATGTCCTAGGCTGGTCTTCTGTCTTAAATGCTCTTCTAACTGTGGGAAACCCAAATTGGTCTTGTCATCCATAATAAATAAATACTTGTATATAGATATTTCTGTAGTTGCTAATGGCTGCCTGGCTCCAAATGTAGCTAGTAATCACAGGGAAATCCAGTCACTGTTCCCTTTAGGGCCAATAGAGTTATTTCACTTTAGGTGACTGACAATTGGTAATTCCTCCTCAATTTCCCCCTGAACTCTCGTTCTAGTGCAGACAGACTGATCCTGGATAATTGGGGTTTGACCCTTCTTTGGTCTACTTTGGCATCATCTGTTGTGCTGGAGTTTGATTTCCACTGGAATTGACCATGTACAGCATAACATCACACCGCTGAATCTTTTGGAGTAGGGTTGCAATAGAGCCCTGTTACAGGTTGACAGGAATGCTGTAAAGGCACATGTAAAATGCTGTAAAGCATGAAAATTTTGGGCAATCTATGTGAGACGGTTTGAGTTGAAAGGGACTTTTAAAGGCCCTCTAGTCCAACCCAAGATGTTGCAAATTCTCAGGGATATCTGCTCTGGTGTGCAGCTGCAGTGTGAACATCCAGCTGCTGAACAACTGAATATAGGCATGCATAGGGGTTGTTCAGCTTGGGACAGTCTGTAGTGTAGGAGCAGCACTGGGTTAGCCTTTACTGTTACAAATCAGATAAATGAATCACCTCATTGCTTTCAAAAGTTCCATTCCACAGTTCCTGGCTTGGAGTGGTACTGACTAGATGCAACTGATACATGTATTTACTTTCAAAGAAGCCCATGATATTTACTGTGCAACTTGTAAAAAGGTTTCTTCAACACCTATTTGTACTCTTCCCCAAAACCTTTAGCCTAGGACTACTGTTAGCTAGAGAAATATTAGGCAAGTTTCTTTTTCAACAATCACTTTATACCACCCCAAATATTATGCCCTGTGGGGAAGTATTTATTTCAGTGTGCCTGCCTTTTGAGTATGGAATTTTTTCAGCTTAATTGAAGTGACAGATAAAGCAGTAGGTTCTGGTTCCAACCTTCCATACCAAATATTTGACTGATAACAGGCTAGCTTCAACTGAACTGATTCATTTTTGCATTTTTCAATGAAATGGGAATACTCATTTCCAATATTGTGGGGTGAATATTTCTCCTTTACAAAGTGGGAGGTGTGAGAACACAACATGCTTCATTTCCTACACAAATACATTTTGTAGAAGTTAAATATCATTCCACTTCTGTGCTAACCCCCAACCTAAAGGCAAAACAGTACTGCAATTTCAATTTACAGTAAATCTGATCCCTCTAATATGCATTAGTCATGTTCCAAAAATACTGTTGGATATGGCTTGGGGAGACAGCCTAATTTTGTTGACTTGAACTGGGGCAATTGTAAGGAACTGCAGTAGGGCAGCCTTAATAACTGGGGAACCTGCTGAAAACCTGTTAAAATTATGTATTTCCAGCATACTGGCCAGCACATCAGACAGGGACAAGTTGTGTCGTTCTGTGCTGAAAGCAAATTCATTTGTAATTCTAGGGGTACTATATAAGGAGAAAAAAGTAATGTGTTCACTTTCTCCAAAACATGCAATACCATTTCTGAAGTGCAATATTTCTAGAGTGAATTTGAATCTCTCACTGTACCTGTCACAGAAGTTGGAAGGGTGTTTGACTTTTTTAGCTGCTCCCTTCTTTCTAGTCTTGACACAGCAGTCTCAGTTTTCTTCTCCCCTTCTTGAGTTGTAGATTTCTGCAGTGTGCTCGTTTTGCTGCTGCTACTTTTATTATCTGACTGATTACTTACAGCAGCCTAGAACAGAGAAGGAAAACTGCTAAATGAGAAACAGTCTGTCATGTAATGGCTACAAGTTCGAGATGACACACTTGGTTCTTTCATTCATCACCTGGCCTTTCTTTAACCTTCCCTTTTGGCAAAGGATCACAACACTCTGATACTTCTAGAACCAACAGTTATTAGAGACTGTAAAACAAACCACCCCAAAGTTAAATTTGTCGTGTTGTCACTTCAGTCAAAATACTGAACAGTTTGAGCCAGCCCTGCCCATTAAATACAGCACTGAAACACACTGTGCATCTACAGGCAACTTCACACACACTGGTTTTCTTCTACCAGTTGTCTATATCAGTGGTTGTGCATATATCCATCAGAAATCTGGGTCTCATAACAGACATCGAAATATATTTAGTTATCCATGTAATCTCCCTGTTTACCATCTGGGATATCTATATACAGCATCACCGTTTGTGTAGCATCACTTTGGTACTGTAAGTGGAAATGCTTTCCTTACTAACATAGAGAGTAAATAACTATTTGGAGAATAGGAAAGAAGTGATACTTGAATTCAGTGCCTGCTTAAGGCATTTGGATGTATCACATGATTGTCCATTTCTTTCATTTATCTGTATTTTATCCAAATACTACATGTAACAATAAAAATAAATTCAGACTTACTAATATTCACCTATAAAGGTGTATTCCAACTGTTATTCCCCAAGCATTAACATCTTATTTGCTCAAGCTCTAAAAGAACACATTGCACACAATTCTTCTGTTCCATCACCTGCACAGTGGTTTTGCTTATGATTGCCATTAACTACCACCAGATATCATAAAAGTTTACAGTAAAATTGTCACATTGTTGTGAAGTATTTTTTCTTAGAGGTCTTGGTTTTGCAAAAGCAAACTCCGGACTTTCAGACTACTTTTTACTCACTGTCATTTTAGCTTTTATTAAATCTTACAAACAAAGCATTAAAAAAATGCTCTGCATAAGAAAATTAGCTAACAGTTATAATCATGGTATCAGTATTGTTAATAAGCAGGTTCCTAGAGATTGCTTACATTTTCTTTAGCCAGCTTCTCTGCTTGCTTTGCCTCTCTGGCTTGTCTCCTCTCTTCCCTTGTGGCTTGCTGCTCACGAAATCCCTTTTGCTTTTGCAGTGCCAATGTAATCCAAAGCGGTTGTGAAGTTTCCACTTTTTCCATCAATTTAGAGCCATCTAAAGAGTGCCTGCTCTGGAGGACAGGCTTTTCTGAAAGAAAATATGACAAGAATTGATTGAGTAATGCACATCTCTTGTCTCAAGAAAACTTCTGTACCTTGTGGAAACACTGGAGGTAAGCCCGTTGAATGTCAGGTCAGTCACAGACCCTTGTGGACTGCATGGAGAATCCTGAAAAAGATTTTATGCCTCAGGAATAAGACCTAATTTGACACACTCATACAGCTGGTAAAATGTATCTTTTTTTTTTTTTTTTTTTTTTTGTGAAAAAGCCTACTCCAGAATTACAGCCTTATTTACTACAAATATTTGCACTGTGTGGGATATTTGGTGAAAGTGATATCTTTGCCTTGATTGTTTATAACTGATAAAAGGGATACAGCCACTACATACTGCAGTTCCCTGGTTTTTCAGCTGTAATTTAGGGAAGAAGAGTGTCTGAACTTCACACAAAAGAAGGGGACTAAAATTGCATACCGCTGTAAATTCAGCCTCTGTTATAAAAACTCTTTAAAATTGACACTTGAGCATTTGACTTTCTCTGCTCTGGGTGGATTTGGAGCTAGCACCCGGTATAGAACTGTGAGTGTCAGGGAGCAGCACTGGGTTGCAAAGGTGCTTCTGCAGAGCTCAGTGAGCACAGAAACTCTCAGCTGGCCCAGAACCTGCTCTCCCATCCAGCAGCTATGCCTCCAACTAGTTTCCATAAATCCACATTTTAAAAAAATGGAAGTCAAAAGAAAAAGTGTAAAAAATTGAAAAGAAAAAAAAAAAAGGCAGCAGTTCCGCTGAGAGATGGTTTTAGACATGTTCTGATGCTTGCAAAATTCAAGAATGAAAAAAAATTGGGATTTCCCAATGAAATGCTGAATTCCTGCCTTTCTCTTTTGGGTGTCCTTATGCTGAAAGGATGGCTTTCTTTCTTGTACAGATTACTACTTTCAGCCTTTCTTTAAAGAGTCACTATGACTACTGTAATTGTTTCTACTACTGAAGAGTAGCTCTGAAACGCAGACTCCCACGCTCAGTTATGCTGGGTTAGATATTTGCCCAGGATAAGAGAACCTAAATCTTAGTATTTTTAAAACTAGATAACAGTTCCCTAAAAAATAGAAACAATAGAGTGTAAATTTTAAAAATTACACCCTCTGCTCTGCTGACACCATTACATGTGGACCACAGAGTCCATCCCCTGACTAACCAGGTAACATCTCTACGAGGAAAACACACTCACACACTTCTGTTACCTCCCTGAAATTAACTTTCTTAAGCAGGTTGCACCAGTCACACTGAGTTTGTGCATTTCTGAATTAAAGTGTGGGGATAGGAATTCCTGCTCATTCAGACAACCCTAAGCAAAGTAATGGTCCTCCACAAATAACATGCCAGGTAAAAAATATAGCTTAAGATCAAACATCTTCCTCTGGACCTTCAACATCTCATTTTGGAAGTGCAAACAATAGCTAAATATGCTTTGAAAAATACATACCTTTCTTCAATGGCTCAGGCTTTTTGTCATTTTTTTCTCTCCATGGAATACTTAGAGATGGGAAAAATGACTTCTTTTCTTTGATTTCTTCCTCTTCATTTTTGTACTCATCAGATGGTGTGGGCTGCACTGCATTTGCTCTGTCTTCTTTTCTCCAGCCACCATCTGATTCAGCTTTAGCCACCCTTTGCCCCAGCATTTCAGATAGGTTTGATCTGTTCATTTTAGAGAGAGGAGATGATGGTGGGGTTTGGCTGGTGGGCTTCGGAGCTATAGCAGGTTTCTGTGGGACCACTGACTTGCATGCTGGTTTCTCCTGAGCAGGTAAAGCACTCTGGCCAGTGGCTGGTGGGATCACTGGTGTGCCCGCTGGCTGTGAAAACTCAGTCACAGTAATTGAAGAGTCTTTTAAATTACCGGGGACATTTGCTCTCCCCACGTCGGGGGAAGTACTCTCTTGTGGAGCAAAAACAGTGGATTCTTTCTCACCTTCTGTTGAGGTGAGTGGGTCAGGCACACCGTCAAAACTGTCTCCTGCACTGTATCTTTTCTTTTTCCTTTGCTCTGCTTGTTGATCATAATGGAAACGTAAAGAGTAGTTTGTCCTTCGTAACTTTATCCCAAAAGGAGAAACATTTTCTTCTCCATTTGGGGACGGTTTATCTGCTTTTTTTGTGCTGTTATTTTGCTGATTTTCCAGAGCACTGGGAAGTTCTGGCTTAGGTAATTCTTTACCTGGAGAATGAGGAAAACTTGGAACAAGGAAAGATGGAAGATCTTTTGCAAATTTGCAGCCTTCTGTATTGTCTGTCACTTCACTATGGGTTTCCACTTTCTCCTTAGCCTTTTCAACTAAATTATCCTTAAAAGTGGTAGCCACATCCTCCTTCAGATCAGCAGATGAGGCAGTGTTTCTCCCCACAGCCACTGTTTCATTGCCTTTTGCCACACTTACATTCTCAGGGTCTGAATTGATTTTTGAAACTTCTGAAAATTTCTGCCATGCTGGTGTTATTGAGAACTTTGCATTTGCAGAAAGGGTTTTCCTTAAATTACCATGGGGAGCACCCCGTCCTCGGGGTGTCCAGTCGTCACTGTGCCTGCAGGCACTTACTCGGTCTCTCTCATTATATTTGTTGTTTTCTGCATTCTTCAGTATTCTGGAGCGAATAGAGGCCCACTCAGCTAGTACAGCCTGGTTGTTCAATGTCTCTTGAGCATGTTTAATTTTACTGCTGCTAGGTTTGAGATCCTGTTTTTTTTTCTGGGACTTCTCTGGTGAAGGAATTTCCACATTTTTCCTCTCTTCTGTTAAGCCAAGTAATGATTTGCAAGCCGTGTCCTTAATCTGGTTCAGGTTAACTGCTGTGCCACACAGCTGGGCTCCAGTAACCAAAATAGCTGTGTGGGGCACACACGCAGATGATGGGAGGGTGTGAGAGCCCTTACTGATGGTGTGCACCCTGCAGTCTTTGACAGATGGAGAAGAGAGTCCTGTTCCTTTGATGGGTGTGACAGGACTCAGATTTACTTTCTGAAATATGATCTGTTTATCTCCAGAAGACACTTGAAATGTGAAGGGTCTGGATGCAGTTTGTCTTTCATCTACCTCTTGCCACCGAAGTTCTTCCCCTATGCGCTTTTGCTCCTGAGCTTCAACATCTCTCTTCAGTTTCTGGGCTAGCATTTCTTCTGCTGTTTTATTCCCTTTTTCTGGCTGTTTGAGATTTTGGGCTCTTGATCCTTCTTGGAGCTTCTCCTCTGTTGGATGCCTATCAGCCCCTCTGGAACAGAACTGATCCTTGTCTTGTGGCTGTTCCAAGGATATTTCTTGGGTTTGCTGAAGATTTTGTCCTTCTGTGCCTGTCTTCTGCTCTTTCAGCTCATTCCATTCTTGTCCATTTTGTTCCTTCTGCTGCTTCAGTTCATCTTGTGGCACACCCTCTGAACTTTCCATGTGCATTTGTTTTATGAGCTTGTGTTTCCTCTGCTCTTCCCGTTTCTTTTTCTTGTCTGTTACTTGCTGGGGTTGTTCCTTATCTGTCTTTTCTCCTTTCTCCTTCAAATGCCTTTGTTCCTCCTGTTTCTTCTCTTCTTTGAGGCTCTCAGGTTCTTTCTCCTTCAGTTTTATTTCAGTGACTTGAAGCTCTTTCTCTTCTAGGTCTCCTCTCTGTATTTCTTCCTTATTTTGTTCCTTGAGTACTTTTGGTTCCTCCAGCCAATTTCTTTCTTCTTCCTCTTGACACTCTTTTTCAGTCCCGTGTTGCCTTAATTCTTCCAGCGCTATCCTCTTCTGCTCCTTCAGCTCTTGTCTCTGTTTCTCCTCCAGCTCTTTGCACTTCTCTTCCCATTCCTGATGCCTCTGCTCCCCCAGTTCCTTATGTCTCTGCTCCTCCTGTTCCCAGTGCTTCCGTTCATCTAGCTCTTGCCTCTGATGTTCCTCCCGTTCCCTGCACCTCTGGTCCTCCAGCTCTTGTCTCTTTTGCTCTTCTTGTTCCTTGAGCTTCTGCACCTCCAGCTCTCGTCTCTGTTGCTCCTCCTGTTCTTTGAGCTTCTGCACCTCCAGCTCTTGTCTCTGTTGCTCCTCCTGTTCCTTGAGCTTCCACACCTCCAGCTCTCGTCTCTGTTGCTCCTCCTGTTCCTTGAGCTTCCACACCTCCAGCTCTTGTCTCTGTTGCTCCTCCTGTTCCTTGAGCTTTTGCACCTCCAGCTCTTGTCTCTGTTGTTCCTCCTGTTCCCTGAGCTTTTGCTCCTCCAGCTCTTGTCTCTGTTGCTCCTCCTGTTCCTTGAGCTTTTGCACCTCCAGCTCTTGACTTTGTTGCTCCTCCAACTCCTTCTGCCTTTGCTTCTCCAGTTCCTGACACCTCATCTTCTCCAGCTCTTGCCTCTTTTCAGTCTCTGTCAGTCTTCTCTCCTCTTTATAGCATGTTTGCTCTTCTGTTTCCAAAGATATCTCTCCCTCGAGGAGATACTGCCTCATCTCTTCTTCACAACACCTTTTCTCCTGTTCTTTACGCATCTGTTCAAGTTCTTGGCACCTTTTTTCTTCCATTTCTCTTTGTTCATCCATTTCTACAATCTGTCTTATCCTTTCAGCCTCAAGGATCCCCCAGTGATCTTCAATTCTTTTCTCCTCTGCAAGCTGAAGCTGCTTCTGCTCATTTCTGCCTTGGATTAGCTTGTCTGCTATGAAGTGTCCATTATAACCTGGATATATGTCCTCGTACAGCTGAGTTTCCAGGTCCTCTGGCTCAAATTCTGTTATTGTTAAACTTTGTGATCCCTAAAATTAAAAGACATGTTTGAAGTTACTGAATATTGCCTATTGGCTTGTTATTCTTTATAGTGATCAAAGAGTTGCGAATGCAAACCACTTTTTTCTGAACAGTGATTTAGATCCAGAGCAAACACACCCACCCCAATTTATGAATCACATCATCATAGATCTCATGTCTCTCACCTATTTTGATGAGAGCCTTTAAAAGAAAGAAAACATCCCAACAGTGATAACAGTATAATGCTAAATATTGAATCACCATTTGGTGTACACTGAGACCTGACCTTTCAAATTTACAGAAGTCCAAGGAATAGAGCACAAGTTTCCTAAGCCTGTTCTACTACTTAGAACTCCATCCTTTAAGCCTGAAACAATTAATGCCTGCTTAAGGGCGTTGTTTTGCCAGTTCTTTCATGGCAAATCTATCTCTTACTTGCAGAGATGGAAGCTGTTGCCTGCAGAGATGAGCAATTGTCTCAATGGTAGCCAGGAAAGAACACTGCTCAGGAAAACACAATTTGCTACTTTTCACAAATCCTGAGCCAGGATATCTTCCTCATTAGCTGTGCTGAGACTCCAGTACTATTGCAGGAACCGTGGGAACATGCATGGACAGCCAACCTAGAGCTCCCCAGGAATATTGCACTGTTCTGTGATCATCTGGTCAACTGACTGGTTCTCCATGCCTGCCCTACAGCCCTGGCATGTGGGTGCAATACCGGCAACAAACTGCGGATCTTCTTCACAGCTTACTCCTTGTCTCTGTAGCAACGTGGTCTGATGAGCTGTACCTGAAGAGCACTTCCCAGCACTTCCCTTGAGGAAAACAGCTCAGCTAATGTCCTGTCTAGCTATCATTTTTTAAGCCATCATTTGGCTCCACTTAACCATTCTGTATAAACAAGAGGTTTAAATTTAATGTCTTCATTGCAAGAGTGATAAACGCAAATACAGCGGTGCAGAAGAAAGGACAGTGGCCTCTCCTGAACCCTGTGTAGTTTAGTAGTCTTGTCTCATTTACAAGCACTAGTAAGATGTCAGGATAAAAAACAAGAAATGTGCAGTAAGCGTACAAAGCTAGAATTTGATAATTCACTCTATAGCTGTTGCAAGAGCTACATTACTTAAGTCTTATTCTTTCCTATAGGACATTTTCCCTGTCAGAACCCACATCAGTTTTAGAGAATCTAATTTTTTCCCAACCAAGTTTTGCACTACTAATTGCCTATATCAGAGCTGCATTAACAGTGGCAGATATCTTCAGGCCTCTATGATGTAAAAATTTTACTAGAAAAACTAGACTCAGAAAGCTCTCTCAGTGTAAAATCCAGGTGGAATTACTTCAGGTTTAAGTAGTGTTTGTCTCAACTGGCAATATTATAACTTCTTTGCATCTTCTCTCCAGCTCATGTTTCAGCTGTAGGTCTCTCTCTTGACTTCAAGTAACACTGTAAATCGCATCTTAAGTTAATAACACTCCTATGTCTATAGCTCCTGGTGCACTCAGTTATGGTTATTTTACCCAGCTTCAAAAGTAATCCCCCTTGTCTTGCTGTTTGGCCAGTGATTTAATACCTTTGTTAGTCTCTTGTGCTTTCCTGATACCCTCTGCTTTTTTGGCTTCACTGACAGCTTGTGCTTAGCTGCACTGTTGTCTAGACGAGCAACAGCCTGGGGAACTGAATCCAAATTGATTGTTTCAATTGTGCCAGAACAGGAAAATTGTCTTTTTGGCCGAGCTGATTTGACTGGAGTGACCTGTTTGTATCACAAACACAAGAAACTGTTATTAAGTATTTGTTCCATAAAATAAATAAATAAACAAGTTAACAATACGCGTGCATGCACACACATGCACACCTTTGGAGTTTTGAATTCAAAGAGTTACTAGCAGAAAAGATTTGAAACCCTGGTTTTCAATTACACAAATCACAAACTTTGGACATGAAAGTTACAGCTGTAATATTTTCCCATTTTCAGTGCTACACATTTTTACAGTTGTCACATTAAAATTACTTATACCATTCTAATTGAAGTTTTTTCACAGTTTAGCACCACTCTGAGCTTATTGGGAATGGGAAGGGCACAGGCAAGGTTTTAAGCAATATCAAACACTGGGACATTTTAAAGTTTGCTTACTGTGAAAAAAAGATTTACATCTTTAAATAATTTAGATTAAACACTTTAGGCAAAAGGAAATCAGATTGACTTATCTAAGCATTATAACAGAACAGGTACAGAACTGTATTATCTGCATGGGAGATGACTGCAGTATGGGATGCCAGACTGGCATAGTGCCTGCAGAAAACCTTCCCTCCACAGTCATATGGAGTTGTCCAAGCAAGCACCAAATAGCAAAATATAAAATAAGACAACATTAACTTGACGGGTGCTTTTTTTCTTGTGCCCTTCAAAATACTTGGGTTCCGAAAGTGCAAATATAAGCAAAGTGATTCAGTGAGATTCCTCTCATGAATAAATACAGTGGAACTGTATGTCTAGGCGTGTAAGCGTGAGCCTGTCATCAGTCTCCCCCATAAGTCACCACGCTATCATCCCAAGACTTGTATTTGGCATAATCCAAATGGAAAAAAAAAGACAGACAAAAAAAAATAGAAGGGAGAAAACATCTTCTGTAAGGAAAGAAAATCGCATACATTGTTTTCAAGACAGCTCTGTAATCTTCTGAGGTTAAACACATGATAATCATGGAACCAATTACTTAAAAGCTGAAGGAACATTTTGCATATGCTTATTGAATTACATGCAGGCATAACAAAGAAGTAGAAGTACTTATGAAAATTATAACTCTGTGATTAATACATCAAATGTAGGAATGTTGCAAGACTGGCAGAGACCGATTCCTGCTGTTTCCTGCAATCAGCTCTTACAGATTTCTCAATCTTAGTTATTGCTTATGTACTAGCCCCAAAACTGCACAACATTTACAAAATCTTGGATGATCAATGAAACAATGGAATATGTCCAAAAACAGAAACCGTCAGGTTTCTGCTATTTCAAACCAGAATGTAACTCAGTGCAAACCAAGTGTAAGAGTTTTTTTTACCTTTTCTTCCACTTCATGTCCTGTTCCAGGCAAATTTAGCATTCTCAAGAAATCTGGTGTGTCAGTGGGCTAGAAAACAAGATTACCACAGACATGTATTAAAATATAAAGGATCTAATAAATATGATTCAAAGGAGTTGTGAAATCATGCATATTAGGATAGGATTTTTACCCTGTTTCCTATCACTACAGGACTGATGGATAAACAATTCTTGTTCCTACATGCTATGAGTTTCTCTTTGCTACTCCTTGAATCATTGCTGTCTACACAGAGGCAGTTACTGCTACAAAACACTACTACAAAAGGTAAAACGCTCAGGCTTTCTTAACAAGGTAAACAGGTTCCAAAACAAAGAGTACAGTTCTGTAGGATTTTGGTCAGGTCTTACAACTTTATTTTCTTCTGACCTACGCATAAGGAAAAAATATAGTAACCTGATTATGCATTATCTCTGCTGCAAGGAGTTTCAACTCCATGTGCTTGACAACTCCTCTTCTTACAGAGCTAACTGTCCCCACAGAGTGATGCAAGCCTGGAGTACTCAAACTCTTTAGCTACTGTCCCTCTCCAAGCCATTCACAGCAGGGAATTTTTAAGGCACAGAGGCTGAAGCAGCATTGATCACACCCAGAAACATTGGTTTTAATCATTCTATCACAGTATTACTTCATAACCTAATGAATGTTGGGATCCCATTACACCAGGCACACCTGATAGTTAGTATGAAACCTAAAAAATCAGCTTCACAAATACAGGTTAAATTAAACCCAGAACTCTTGCTATTGATCCAAGTTACTCAGACAGGAAAATCAGAAATCACAAAGTATCACAGGAAACCTGTTCGAAGTAGACCAACACTATGTGGTCCTGGCCACCAATTCTTGACAGAAGCCTCCCCATCCCTCAGGACCTATGCAGATAGACACACCGAGGAGTTACAAGGCCAACAGAAGAGACAAGAGCAGAAACTAGGGAAGCTGCCATGCTTCCCTAATTTCCCTGATTATCTCTGATAACACAGGTAACGAGTAGTGTGCAGAAATGAAAGTACCAAGTGCTCTGACTGACACTACGCACATAGAGTTGGTTTGGTTGTGTCTACAATTGTCTCTGAGTAGGGATGTTTGCTCCTTCAGTATTTGGAAAAAGAATTATGCAAAGCAGTGGTCATTTTGTTTTTAAAATGTAATATTTAAAAGAGTAGGTGGTAAGGATTGAATTTCTCCCTCTTTATTACACAAAAATACTGTAATGTTTTTTTCGTGCTTGAGCTATTGTCTCCTTCAAGCTGGAGGTCACAAGGTGACATTAGTGTCTCCTACAGGACCCATCAGAAGGCTGTCTGAAGAGAATCTATGTTGGTCTCAAACACAGACTTGCACCTAGTACCAGGGTACATGGGGTAAAGAGCCAAAACCTGTCCATGGGCCCACCTGTGTATTTTGTGCTGAGGCACACAGGATGCTCTTGATTCACCTTAACTGATTACTTCAGAAGGGAGTATTTGTGAAGCAGAAAAAATATACCTTACCTTGGCTTCATTTTTATCCTCCCAGACTGCCGAGGGAGAGGTGTGAGTGTGCAAGTCCTACCTAAATGCCTGGCTCCCTGACAGATCTGACCACAATCACGAAGGAAGTGGTCACAGAAGAGCTGTATTGCCCCTTAAAGACTGATGAAGAATTTTGGCCTCCTTGGCCATAAATCTGCCTTCTGTGTGTTTGGCTGAATATAGGCACGAGCTGCAGAGGACACTTCCTGCCTTTGCCTTTCACACGGCCAGCACTAGTGTTAGTGAACACGAGTGGAGGCTCATGCCCTGCTGTCCCGTCGGGATTTTAAGGGCTGCATGTACATGATGGGTTGCTGCATGCCTTTTCCAAAGGTTCCCAGGCACAAAGTCAGCCTCCTCCAGGCACAGAAGGATGTCCTTCTGTTCCCTGTGCTCCTTGCTGGCATTACAGTGGCACACAGGACCAGCCTTGCCTTAGAGGATTTCCAGAAACCTTTCCTCACTCACTGTGTTTCTTAGCTGTCTGAACAAGTCTCTTCTGGATGCCTGAATGCCCACAGTTCCTGATATCAAAATCTTCATGAATAATTTGAAGAATTATTTGAATTATACTGGACATTTGGATTTAGGGAGCATACAGAATGCTTATCCCCCTTCTTTGCCTCTGGTTCCTGTCCATGAGAAATATAGATACTTACCCTAAGACCTAGGATTTTACAGAGTTAGGCTCCAGACCCCTCTCATTTTGCAATGATTTTCTTTTTTGCCATTTGATGCTGTGAGCAACTCTCCTTGCCCGGAAGGCCATATTTCAAGATATTTTCTGTCTCAGAAAATTCTCCTGTCTTCCAGCTACACTGCAAATGATGTCTACATTGCTAGAAGTTCAGAGTAAACACTCAAACCAGTAAATCTGTGTGACCTGGATCAGGATGCCAAGAGCATGCTTCCCACCAGTCCAAGAAGGACGAGCTGAGAGAACCCTCCCACATGAAACAGCCCAGTGAGTTCTGCTGCGCCTCACTGGAGACATCTGCTATTGCCCAGTGAATTTTACTGCTTTAATACTGCTATAATGCCATGGACACATCAATTTGAAGTGCTTACTTTATTACCACTGCCTGAGATCACTGTGACCTGCTGAGTCTCAATCTCCATGGGGCTGCTGAGCAACACATCCTCTTCTATACTAGTGTTTGCTTCCCCCATTGTCCTTGCAGAAACTGTCATTTGTGGAGGCTGCCCAAATTTTATATTCTTGGCCAACTGTTGCTGAAAAACAAAAAAAGGAAAAAAAACCCAACAACAGTGATAAGCAGGTATTTATATTATGAGTAAAATAAGACAAGTTCAGCATGCACCACAAAGTGACCAAGGTCAAGAATTTGCTACGTGATTTCTGATTTTGGATGATCAACTTGAGTTCTTGACAGTGTTGCCAAGTTTTGCAAACTTAACATGAACTTCGAACACTCCATCTCTTTTTTTAATCTAAGTTCTAGGTTAAGACTTTGATTATAAAAGCTAATTATGATGCCTTATTGTTGCAAAGAAATATGATTACAAGCCACATGTACACCGGGATACTAAAACTACCCCAAAAGGCAACTTTCTCCAGCCCCCAAACCCTGCATCTCATACATCTGCAGTTCTGAAAGATATCCTTATTGTAATGTTTAATTATAAGGTTTAAATGTTAAGGGTTTGGCACAACCTGGCCTTAGAAGAGGCAAAGTCTCAAAGGAGGGTAAGCTCAGCTCTTTTAGATGCTTGATCTCATAGGAACAATATACAAACTCCTGTATATTGTTCAGGTCTGCTCAGGCCACTCACCGCTGTTGCACAAAGAACTTCAGGCAGGGAACATGCAGTAGATGAATGAATAAAAGAGCTTTCCCACCATTTATTTTTCTTTTTGAAGTAATCTTCTCTCAAGGGTTACAAGAAAGTACTCTTGAATTACATCAAGTGTAAGATGAATAAAATAACTAGCATATAATATCTGTCCCCTGATAGAGTGAGCTAGAGAAACTGCAGCTCTGGCTACTTCAGAGACACATACCATACAGACTTTGAAAGCGAATTTTTGCAAAAGAGTTAAAAGAAATTCTCTAGAAGCAGCAAATGGAGTAAGGAACATGTATTGATACATTCTCTTCCTGAAATATTTCAGGGAATCATTCTCAGTTAGGAAGGAGGGGACTGTGGAGTTATTTTCTGGCTTTGCTGTCTTTCAAGCACAAAAAATTCTCCAAAGGACTTCTCCCATTTCTGTCTTGTGAAACTATGGACAAGTTATTTATGCTCATTTGAATTATGGCAGAAAGTGGTGAAATTTATATCGTACACCATTTTGGCATAGTGGGCAGTTCTGAATGGCAGACTTTTATTCCCACCTGGATTACTGGCAGTGCACTCATAGTGTAAAGGCAAGTGTTTCACCAAGGGTTTTGTTGCCTCAGGTTTTTTTTATTTTTTTTTTTATTTTTTAATTTTTATAGGTTTTAGAAGTAGTTATGTAGTGAATGTAGGTTTTAAATGTAACTGTATCTCTCTCACTCTTTAGAACAGCAGTTACATATACCCAACCCTATTACCCCATTCCCTATCAATTCCCCCTAAATTCCAGTAGCGTATTCAGTCTCTTTTTCAAGGTAGGCCTTAATTCTGTTTAAGAACATCTGCACCCTGGCCTGGACAACAAGATATCACCCAAGCAAAGCAACCTTCAAACCCAGGACTTTGGAAAGCCTCCAAGAACTGTAAGTACTCCAAAGAAGATGAAGATGAGGAAGAGGGGGTCCCAAAACTCCCCCAGACTCAATTCCCGAGGGGCAGGTCGGCAGGCGGAACAGGGCAAAGGCCAGGGGGTGGACGAACAGGGATTGGATGGACATAATTATTTCATGCATTACACTTGAAGAAAGTTTTGGGGAGAGTCTAAAACAGAAGAATGGTGAAGAAACATACTGTAAATGGATTTCTAGAGATGTGTATTTGCAGCGAGTCCAGACACAAATTAAGATTTTAGTATACAGTGGCAATAGACCACTTAGAGAGACTTGTGTAAAGAGCAAGACTTTCTGCAGAAGCCTGAAGATACTGCATCAGTGGCATTTGTCACCAGAGCCTCTCCTCAAGCAAGGCAGATGCAAGGAAGGAAACAGAAGCTCATTTTCAGGGCTTACTATGATCATAGGTAAAAGAGAATCTGCCCAAGAAATGCTAGAATGATTAAGAAAAAAATAAATAAATTCAGTTTATAAAGTGAAACCAATTTTCAAATATGAGGAAAACAATTAGGTTGCAGTGGCACTAGAAAATATTAGCAACAAAGACATTAACTGTAAGAAATACAAAGTTAGGCAATCATGCAGTGAAAATTCACTCCCAATTCTGAAAAATGCAGAGCATCAAGTTAAAAGATAAGAGCTTTGAGGTACCGCAAATGACTTTGAAGACTTGTTGAGATCTGTGCAATATCAAACAGAAGCAACGATGGGAATTGCTGGTACAGATGTCCCCAGCACAGTAGGGGAAACACTGGCTTGATCATTAGCTAAGATATGCTAATGACTAAAAGAAATGGAATCCAAAAGTGAACAGTTATTAGGTCTGATAGGAAGAAAATGATCAGTGACATTCATCATCAGAAAGCCAGGGAAATGTGAATTTTAAAAGTGGTCCTTTAGTATTTGACCAAGAAGTGGTTTTATCGTGATCAATATTTGTGTAATAAATGAGTGTTTTATAAATTTACAGAGCAGAAGGTTTGTTTGTTTTAAGCCACATGGCCACATGAAACAGAAAGGAGGTAACCCTGTAGTTTCTAAATGCCATAAGCTATACGTCGTATTCAACCTGTAATATTTCTTGCAGCTGACTGCTGCAGCCTCACAGATGCCAGATGACCCAAAATACTTTCAGTGAAGGCAAGAGCCAAAGAACAAGCTGTTCTCCTGCCTCCAGAGGCAGCAGCAGTACCACACCACAGTATTGTCACAGCAAAAGGGAGAGAATGGCTTAGACACTTCAGGATACTAATGTTCTAAACAAGGTTTCATTTTACTTGCTGCCGTTTTTGCAGTCTGAAACAAAAACTGTCTTCTGTTCGTTTGTTGACCATTTCTGGCAAATATCAGTGGTAGGAAGAAGAGTCATAGCTACAAAATATGAGGAAGTAGCTCTAAGGCATTTCGATGGAAGAAAAAAAAACCACTAACCTATGAAAGGCAAGGATGTAAAACCAAGTTCCCAGAGTTTATTTTTTTTTCTGACACACTGACAGATTTACATTTTAAACATTCCTGGTGTCTCATTCACAGTCCTGTATGAGAAGCAGAGCAACAGATCCCCAGAAACTAAGAGTTCAGCATTAAGAGTACCAATGCCTAGGTACCACCTCTTTGGGGGGGCAGGTTCGGGCTGGCTTTCTACACTGGATATTACAAACTAGGTAATGATAAATCTCAACAGATCCAAAGGACATGGAAAAGACTTCTTTTATGACAGCAGATGGCTTGAGCCAACATGAAATAACTTCAGGATACACAAAGGCTATTGGAGGTTAACAAGAGGTCGGGCTTTTCTCAGCCTGACTTCTAGCACACACTAAAACCTTTGAACATAACCAAATCCATTTACAGAAAGCATGATAAGATGAATGCTACCAATCTTAAAATCAATAAAAACAAATGAGGGCAATTCTACAAAGAACTGGTTTACCTTGCACACATAAGCATAAAGAGAGAATTCCCATAATAAGAAGCTGAAACAGTGCACATGCTGGCCAGATGCCCAGACTACTACAGAGTTTGCACCATTACACAACATTTTTTGTGGGTTCATCAACACTCCACAATCAGCAGAAAGGCGAAGCGAGAGGGGAGAAACACTTTGGCAGTTCTCAGAATGATATCCAGCACCATCAATATTAAATGGCTTGCATCATTTTTCTGACTTCAAAACCCTTTTCATCATGCTATCTGCTAGGCTTGTAAGCATGGTGACTTTTAAAAAAAACAGATTTAAGTTTTCCAGGAGTGTTTACTGTACCATACAAAAAAAATCCTGAAAAGGGTTAAAATTTGCCAAGCTTTTGATCTCTGTTTGAATGCAGCAAATCCAGAGTCAGCAGGAGGCACTTAATCCTGGCAACGACTCCTTACTGAAGAGCATCTTGCTGGTGAATGGAAACTGGAAGGGCAGTGCTTCCACTGTGACATACAAGCCTGGGCAAAACCACAGTAATGCTGGTGGCAAAGTAATGACTTGGGACTGGGAACAGGCCTCAGAACTGGCTTTAAGGAGTAGAGTGCTCTCCAGAAGACATGACTGTCTCCTGTTATTCCACCAGTTTAAGAAATACAGACGTTCCCAGTTGGAGTGAGCTTACAGAAAGGGTCTTCAAAGTAGATACAAAGTCTGATAACAGGAGACTGAGTATCAGTGTTTTCTGTGACAAGAAATCACACAGCAAATGCTGTCTCATAGAATACTACAGCAGGAAAAAAGGATGGCGTATGGAATGCATAAAACCTTCAGATAGGAGCAATAGTCAAAATAACTCATCAGACCTGGGACTCAACTGTAAGGTCAACCTGAAATTGTGCAATGGGGTTTTAGCATGATTTTGTCCTAAAACTCAGGGATCAGTTGCAGAAATCATGGCTAGGGAAATTGGGACAGTTACATGCTGGGCATCAATTTTTACAGATACAAGAGGTAGCCCCTAGTCTTATTATAGGGAGCCTTTCCAAGGGTTTATGAAAAAAAATCCATGGAGATTTAGACGAATATATAACTTCTGTGCAAACACACAAATAGCTAAAAGCATCATTTACAATTTATTATTCATTTCCTTTCTGAATGAATGAGTTGCTCTCACCATCATCAGTAGAGTGGAAAATGAATTGGGTATGTTACAGGCTGGGTTCCAGCTATACTAAAATGACAAAAATGAACTACCATCCTTCAGTTTTAAACAAAAAGGCAAGAACATATTTGACTTCGAGCAGCTGAAACAATACTTCCCCTTAAAATACATACAAATAACCACAACAAAAAAAGGCTTATGCAAAGGCTATTTATTTTGTGACTTTCAAAGGGGAGTATTTTGCTTCAATTTTCTTGATTTACCATGTGCTTAGTGAAGATGGTTGTTAGCAACTGCAATAACTATACTTTTTATTGGGTCTCTCAGTTTAGTGAAGGCAATAATTTTCATTGGGAATTTTAAGCTGAGTTTTGAAATAAGAAAAGCCACTCCTAAAAATGAAAAGTTATTCATAGAAAAGCTAACATACGGAATCCAAGACAACAAATCCAACAGATAGGGAGGGCACAGCTCCTTGAAGAAGCTGAGGGGTTTTTTTTTGGTTTTGCATTGAAAGGACACTGCAAAACAGGCCCAACTACCTCCTGTCTTTGCCCAGAGTCAGCAGTCATTTTAAACACAATGATTTCAGACTGGAAAGTAGCATGCATGGAATCTACCTCGCCCAGGGAAATTTAAGCTGAAAAACCAGCACAGAGGAATTGGAGCTGCCCTAGCATGGTTTCTACTTCAGAGTTCATCTACAGTCAGCACAGCCAGTGCTGTTCAGCTGCTCTGCCTGCCTACAGCACCAGCAGGAAGCAGGAACAATTTAATCCTGAAGGTCAGAGCTCTCTACTGAGCATGATCTCTCACTCACCAGAAAAGATGGACCATGGGTAGACTTTGGAGGTAAAAGAAATCAATGGTATTTTAGTAGTAAGCCTCAGAGAAACAGCACTTGCACAGAATTAAAAATTTATCAGCGTTTTGACAGGACATGTCAGCATCCTGAGCAATAAAGTGCAATGTGCTTCTGAAGGACAGCTCTTTCAAGATCTAGAAAGGCACAGAGATGGGAATCTTACAGATGTACAAAAAAAGCAAAAAATTAGTTAGAGTGCTAATGGGAGAGAGTTCTGGAAAAGAAGGAAAAGCAGGTCATGTAAAGCTGTTTAGAAGCAAAACCCAAATATGTTGTTTATGCTTTGGAGAGATAAACAAATCCACCTTTCATGAGAGTCATTGAAAGGACAGCGAGAAAAAGGAGAAAAGAATGTAAAATATATAAATGTATAGTGAAATGAGCTTTACAAAGAAGTTCTCACTCTACATGCCATTCCCTGCCACCAACACTACTCTCGTTTTTTCTCTCAATACCACATCTGTAGGACTCAGGCATACAGATCAGGACACACTAAAACCACGAGTTCAATTCAAATGAGTTCCACAAGACATGGATATTTCTGCAGAAATGTTTGCAGCATCACTGCTGTAACTTTCAAGACCAAAATCTATAACTTCTGCAGATTATCTGAATTACATGGCTTTTGGCCAGACAACTTAATATGGCTGAGAGATTTCCTGAAGGCTATTGGAAAAGCAAACCATCTTTATGCACATATAACACATTCTGGAGACTCTTTTCTCCCACATTTTAAGTATTTTTCCCACTTAAAATTTCTTACCTGAAGAGTTTTGACTTTTCCTAAAACGTTCTCCTGTGACATTGCTTGGATGGCCTGTTCACCCTCTGTTCTCCCATCAGGTATAAAAATACTGTCATGGGAAAAAGCTCGACTGCCCATAGAATAATGGGAGGATCTGGAAAAAAAAAACAGTTAAAAAATAAATAAGCACTGCAATGAGTTTATGAGAGTGACCCTTCATATCATAACTGCCCTGCTGTACAGATCTTCCCTCCCTCTTGCCTTCTACGTAAAAGTTTTGAATATTCTCAGAAGAGAGGTATCCAAACATGTTTAGTTATTAAAAGTTTAATGGAGGTGCACAATTCCTTCACATAAAGTCTTCCTCCTTGGAAGGATCTAAAGTTAGGTATTTTTAATAGGCGTGTTGAGAAGTCCAATTGATTTTCCTCGTAAATCTCAAATCTAAATGTTACTTTTAGGATACAGATTAAGTGACTATGATGCACACATTACCAGACTACATGTTTAAGAAAGCCCACATTGGTGCTAAGTCCCAATGCTTGGGATCTGCTGTCATTCTTGGTCAAAGAAAACAGCAGGTCCCAAACAAAAGGAGCTCTACAACACAAAAAGAGGTAATACACTGTAGTAGCCAACCTCTAAAGAGCTACCTCCTTTAGCTGGTTACTCAGCTCTTCCTATCACCATGACTATGATCACACTGACTATAAAAGGTTATCATCAAACCCCTGAACTGCTAAGAAGCTTATTGCACCAACCTGAGTGGCTTTGATTAGCAATAAAGAGCAAGAAATGCCTGTGTGTTGCTGTTAAACTGAATACTAATGCCAAGAAGAAGAAGGGTGCATCATGAATGACCCAGTTATATGGCTCTGACTGAAATCCACAGGCAAAGGGATTAAAAAAAGAATTGTGAAGAAAATGTAGAATTAAAAAAAAAAAAAAGGAAAAAAAACTAGGCTTGTGGGTTGTTACTTCGGAGTTTGGAGGCATTCTGGGGAAAAAAATGTTTGAGTTTGAAAGTCATGTTTTGTCTCACCTAGAATATTCCATGGTAAAATAAAAGCCACAGTACAAAATCCCTGGACAACTGAGACATCTTAAATCTCTCCTTTTAATAATATGTTGACAACTCTACAGAACCCATTTATAACTTCAAAAAAAAAACAATCTGGAGGAAAAAAAAGGTTTTGTACAGATCTAACCAAAACAACCTTCTACATTTGATAAAACCATTATAAACAAATATTTCAGCCACAGCAAGGAAGATGATACTTCCAGAGACAAGTGTAAGTAAAACAACAAGAAAAATTAAAGCTTCACATATCAGTATATTATCTTTTTCTGCCTTTTAAAATGTACTAATTTATCATGAAGTGTTCACGGTATTTCTACTCATACTTTGGAAACAAATATGTTTGGAATGTATTTATTACACTTTCATCTCATTTTTTTCCTGGGATATCAACATACTCTTTTTAAGTAAAAACAATAATCTTTTCTTACCAAGGAAGACTTGTTATATAGGGTTATATTATCCTGTTGAAACGGATTAGATAATAGACTATTTGTGACTTTTATAAGAGAATTTCTTAGAGGTAACCTGAAAATAACAGGAAAAAAGCCCCCTAAACCCTCTCTCTCTAGTTTATATATAAAACTTTTGCAATCCACTCAGAACATATTCCAATCTTTTGAGAGAGCACACAGAGCCCTCTAAATCATTTTATCTTCAGTATAATCACAAACTAACTGAAAAACTACTTTTTATCCAGAATTAATATTTGAGCAACATGCTGCATTTGAAACAAACCAGCACACAAACAGTCAAAGAGCTGGTCAATATTTCCCAGCAGTTTTAGCCATGAAAGAGAAGAAACCTTTAATTGATGCTATATTCTATGTTAGATTTTTGTTTTATAAAAACCACAACTTGATTGCCTCTGGCTTCTAAAGGTAATACACCTTCTTTTAGAAACCTTTTATTAGAGAAACCATAAAAGTATATTTTTAAACCCTCTTCTAAAAAAGCTTCTGTACTGAATCTCTGTGACTCAGCCTGTACACATAACTGCGGTAAAATCGCATGTCACTGAAATACATCCACCTTCCTTGGCCACCCAGGAATCAGGCCGTGACCCACAATTTGAGAAATGTCCCTTAAACAGAGAGTGGTTTGAAGCTGAGAGAAAGTTGGCTTTTTTTTCATATAACTGTGTTGGACTGTTTGAACTGAAAGCTCCAGCATTGCATTCACCAAGGTGGGAGGGTAGGGGGGAGAAGTCTGTAGTCACAACCAAAATGGAGACAAACATGCAAAATTTGGAAAACCAGTCCATGGGCACCCTTCCTGCCATTTGCATTGTTCAGTATGTGAACCTGCTGCAGATGTGGAAGGCAAGGCCAGTGGGAACTGGTGGTTTGTTAATTACCTTTGAGCTGAGAGATCTGCTGAGGATGTATAATCCAGGTCATGCTGTGCTCCAGAGACGATCCTTTCTCAAAGATTTTTCCAGCAGTGCTGTGGCTCAGATACTTGTGGCTTTGTCTCACAGCTACTTTCTGTGCATACACCACTATCCTCCCCTTTTACTGTCCAGTGGGTTGGAGTTCTCATACTTAAAATCAGACACCTCATGTATATTTGTGTTGTTTGTTACAACTAATTAGTAGGCAAAGATTGCAATTCAGGCACAAAAATGGCTTGTTTGCAAGTTGTTTTTGACCTTACTAATGAATTGCTAATATTTAAGTTGGCAGCAGCCAACTGGCAGCTTTGAAACTGAACAGAATTTGCTAGCAGTTCAAACTCCAAATCTGCATTTGACCAGCTGCAGGGATGCTCTGGTAGTAGGAAGTGCCCGATAAAATCTGAGTCCCTGAAATGGAAGAAAAGAGCAACTTCTGAGGTCAGTGCTGGTGGACTGTCTGGGACAGGGCTGGGAGTGAAGATCTTCCCCATCCTGCTACAAAGCTGAGGACACCTTTGATGATCTAGTCTCTCCTCCTGCCTATGAACTTATTAAATATCATTTAATATCATTCTTCTGGGGACACCAGGTCACATGAAATAGCTTCGGAGCTCCATGTGACCTGCAATCATAAGTACATCACCACTGGAAGTCCAACCCTGCCTTTGACAAGTGCCCACAATGGTACCAGTGGCAGGTACCAGTAGCACGTACAGCATTTCTGATGTTCTCCCAAACACCAAACTGCTGTCTCTCTCCTTATTACATGGCATCACATATTTCTGTTTTGTAGAGCTTAGGCCAAACATACCTGAAAGGTTTTGTCCATTTTTGTTTTCTGATTAACTTCCTAACAAAACAAACATACTCCAAATTGTCAGAAGACACGAAACAGTCACAGGAAACCTTGCAGTGCATTAATTCAAGATTACTCTCTACTGTATCCCTTCAAAATGCTTTGCACACATAGTGAATATTTCAGAATTGGGTGAATGAGCAATTCTGCTAGCCACATGTCCAACAACTGGTAAAAATAGTTTAAGAATTTTGCTTAAATGTCTTCGTAGGCTAAAGAACATAGGAAAAAAATATTCACACATTGTAGTAACCTAGTTTCTTTTACAGGAGAGTTTAAATACTGTTTAAGGTGATTTCCAGGCTATTGTACTTTCTGAAAGGTCTCTTATTTTACTCACTTGGAGCTCACAATCCTTTCACATCTTCCCAGCTGTGAATCTGACAGATTATATCACAAAGGTCCTTTCCCCCCCTCTTTTTTCACTTTCCTCATGTTCTACTTTTGGAAAGACTGAATTTCTTTTAAGTCATAATACAGTATGAATAATTGAGCTTCCTTCACTGCTAACCAGCATTCCCATCTTTGAAGTTTTTCTCAGAATTCTTTATACAAAAACATCCTCACAATACACGTCTACAGTCTGTGCTCCCTTCAATTAAAAGGCATGTCAACATCAGGAGCGGATTTCAATAGATTCACGGTATGACAGAGACCCAGGCTACAGTCATAGCCATGGCTGAAGGTATTACAGTTTCGAACTGCCATATCACTTCCAAGAAATGTGGGAAAACAGTGCCATCAGTATATGAGCACTTCTGTTGATAATTCTGATGATGACACTTCAGAGGCTGTTTGTACTGAAAATAATTGAATCATCATCTGACTCACTTTCAGAAACCTGACTAAATTACATGAATTATGGATGTGCTATATCAAAATATGAAGCACTCAGCAAATCCTTAAAGACGTTCTCTCTGAAGATACATTGCAACCCAAGGATCATGTTCCAGTTTCAGTTGCAATACACAAATTTTCAAAACTAATTTTCTCATACTCAGAGCAAAGTTAAATTGCATTTGCTCTCAGAGTTTTCATTGCCTCACCTGTGTCCATCTTCAGATACCTGAAACAGGTTGGAATACTTGGTTTCGCAGCAACACTAAAAACTTACTTTTCACCTTCTTTGGTTAGGATGAAATTGTCAAGAACTACTACATTTTTGAGAACATATGATGGGCTCTGTGGTACATGCAGGTTTTAGTGTGAAAAAAAATACACCAGGATTTGTCTTTGTCTTGAGTGTGCCCCAAGAGCTTAAAAGTACAGCAGAGCCAACCATCCCACAGGATTTTTACAAGTAATGACACCAGCAGTGTCAAAGGGATGGGAAATAGAGCAAGACACAGAGTATGAGGACCCCACCACATCCTGACCATGGAGATGACTGGACTCCTGGCCCAGATTTAACAATATTTAGCTGTAAAAGAAGTTGCCTCAAATACACATTGCCCCTAATTAGGTTTCTTCTGCATAAAATTAATATGCTTCTCAGACTCATTGTTTAATTCAGTGCTGCTGATTCATTTTCCTGGAAAGGGAAAACACCTGTTTCATTTCAGACTTCTGGAAGAATCACAGAAAACCACCGGTAAAACAGATTACATAGATATTGGAGTATCACATCTATGTATGAATTTGGCTTGCAAAAACCTCTGTGCACTAAACCCCTCTTACCATTACTCATTCTTGCTAAGGTATCTGTGTGTGCTAAGAAATTAGAAAATGTGAAACAATTCCCTTACAGCAAAATAGAACCACCTTGATCCTACAGGTGAAGTCTTACTCCTCTTCCATGAAGACCAACAAACTGAGAGAGATTGC